ACTTGCATCCCCCCGTCCCCGGCTTGGAAACCCCAGAAACAGAGCACTTCGGACTCTGTGGAAAACATTAACATGAGTAGCAGATCACTCATCTTCACGCTTCACCCTCGTATGAAACTTCGGATTTCCCAGTGTTCTCTAGAGGACGGAGCCCGAGCTCCTTCCGTCGTCTAGCTGACATCATCTTCTCATCCTCCACCAAGCGCCAGGTGTGGCCCATCTTGTCAAAGAGGTCGTACTCTCGGCCTCCTCCGCTCTTCGTCAAGGTGTTGGCCAACTGCGCCTCGCTATGCACCCATCTGATGCACACATTCGTGTTGGCCTGGGCCTCCTTCAGCGATAGGAGTTCCAGGCTTGTCCGCTTCTCCGTGCCCTTGATGACCATGACCTCTGTCTCCAACTTGTCGTAGACGTTCCGGCTGTCCGTCACCACGCACCCTTGGGTCTTACGGACTGTCTCATCAGGGGCAGACAGGTTCACCCCGCCGTACAAGATCTCGCTCCACTGGTATCGCGCAGCATGTAGGTGGTCTTCTCCATTCACGGCCGCTTGGGCCTCCGCGGCCCCTGGGGACCGGCAGGTCCTGTCAATCCGCTGCGAGTGCCAGCCCACTGGGCTGACAGGCTGCACACTGCCCTTGAGCATGTCTGACGTGCTCATTCCCAGCAGAATCCCTTGGGTGGATCCTCCATCCATCCTGTTGCCATTCGCCGCGTCGACCCACGCGATGAGCACCAACTCCTGGTCCTCATCGAAGGCGTGGATCTTCATGCGGTAGTGCTGCTTGCTCTTTGCGGCGGCCAGCAACATGTTGGCCCGGATGATCGTGTCCACGCTGCTCCTCGTAACCTCGGTTAGGAGTAATCCTACTTCTGCCGCCAGGTAAGGCGCGACCTGTTGGGCGTGCCAACTGATTCCTCCTAGGAGTGCTCGCAATTGGCTTTTCTCCTTGTCGGTTGTGGGCTGGGATTTGTCTTTCTTTCGGGAGGCGTTCACTCCTATCTCGTGCAAACTATCAAGGTAGTGCGGTTGGGAAAGCTCAAAGCCACTAGAGGTTTGCTCAACAACAACACCACACTGAGTAAACTTGTTTTGTTCCCAGTCCCCCCATTTAAACCTATCCTTGATGGCCTGAACCTTAGCCTCCCACAAAGGATCTCCATCTTTTCCGCCAAACAGGAAATCATCCACATGGCCACTGACGATTCCCCTGAGTTCCCCGTTTTCTCTCAAAACCCAGCAACAAGAGTCTGACCACAGTCTTTGAAAGCCTAAGCTCTTAAGGAATTGGTCCACTGAACGATACCACTCCAGTGGCGCGTCCACCAATCCGTAGCATGCTTTCTTGACTCGAGTTACCGAGCCCTCCGGCAGGTCTAATGCACGACAGATCTCTGGACACGGAATGCAAAACAACTCGTCTGGATACTGGCGACTCTGAAGAAAAGCTCCTGTGACATCTCCTTTCTGCACTCGCCATCGCTTCCAAGCTGAAAGTTGTAGCAGTAACTGTCTGGTTTGTCGAGTCATGACAGGGCTTGTGGTAGCACGATGTTCATAAGCTCCGTCTTGATATCCCAAAAGCACTGCTCTGGCCATAGCCTTTCGGCTGCCGTCTTCTTTCAGCTTCCATGTAAGTATCCAACGCATCCCAATGGCCTGTGAAGCATCTGGTTTCAAGTGGTCTGGAAGAGCCTCGAAAGCTTTTGAAGCCACAAAGTTTTTGACCTCCACGGCCTTGGCGCTGTTAAAAGCATCGCGTTCCTCTGGCGTCATTCTCTTTTCTGAAAGTTCGATTGCGCGTCGTTTCAAGCTACCCACGAAATTGGCTGGAAGATCCTGTAAAGCCTTCTTTATACCTCTCTGGGTTTCCGGAAAGCTAATCTCCAGTGCGACGGCGGCCGCCTTATCGTCCCAGTAGCCGGCCCTCTGTTGGGGCCACTTGTCCTCGGAGATCGTAGCCCACCAAGCCATTTGGTTTTCACCGTCTGGCTCCTGTAGGCATGGCCTCCGGGATGAACTCGGTGCCTCGCCTTGTTCTGGGAGTAACTCGGGATCTTCCTCTCCTTGAGAGGTTGGCCGTCCTTCTGCTGGCCTCTTCTGCCGTATGCGGAAGCGGCTGGGTTGGACCTCTTCTTCGGTGTCCTGTGCTCGCCTCCACTCTCGGAGATCGGGAAGGTCTCCTGTAAGATCCTCAAAGCGATTGCCTCCGATGCTGGCTGCCACAGAATGAAATGTCCAAGGTGTAGCTTGCCCCTCCTTGGCGGCAAGTGTCTCGATCATTTCCTCGCGTTCCGAGGCTCGTCGCAGTTGCTCTGGGCTGCACTTCAAGAGACTACGACCCTTAACCAACCAAATGGCTCCTCCCGGCAAAATATCTCCTGATGGATCGCGGCGTGATTCTGTAGCCAATACTCTGGCTGGGCCCAAGAACCGACCATGCTTCCCACCCGGCTGTCTTCGTCCCTTATTGGAGTCCTGAGTCCTCCAGTAGTAGACGAGCTCGCCGGGCACGTAGTCGTAGCAAGGCCTGTGCTTCGAGTTGGTTGCCCGAGACAGGCGTTGTCGAGCCTGCCATTCCAGAAGACATTTTTCTGCCTCTGGACTGATCTCTCGAAGTCGCCCGCAGGATCCTCCACTAACAGCCCTGGGGGCACCTGTTGGCATCCCGATTGGAAGCGCCCGGCATTGTCCGGCGCCTGTCCCAAAACGTGCTGGGCCGGAGAGAACCCACGGATCAGATCCTTTTGGTTGAAAACCACCACTGCTTCTGCAAGAGCTTCTTGCGGCGTGATAGTATCATCCTGTAGGCTCAATTTATCAAGAAGGGTCTTAACACCTTTGATTGCGTTCTCGCAAGTGCCGATCTTCCAGTGAGCTTCGCCTGGGACTATGTCCAGAAAGATGTTGTGTCGGTCACACCACTCTTCGATGGCGGCGCTTCTGAAAGCGCCAGCTGGATCTAGTCTCAAGCATCGCGGGTGACCGAAGTACTGAACCCAACCCTCCTGGAGATAATGAATGCAATCCTGAGCCTTTGGTGCCTGGCGGGATCCGGAGGTAAGAATCCTAGCGACCCTGTATCTAGAACCCTCGTCAATCACTAACATAAACTGCACACATTCTCCGGTGGTAGGATGGGTCCAATGGCCCACGTCCGCGCTGATTGTTGTCAATTTGGGAGGAAGGGGTTCCAAAGAAGCCAGGGCACGAGGAGGTGGCCTACTCTTCTCTTGACACACCGAACACTTGAACTCATTGGCCAGCTCTAACGTTCTAGCATCAGCACCTCGGGCCTTGAGAGCCTGAACCATGTGTCTCGGGTGACTGTGGCCCGTTGCACAATGAAGGAGGTATAACTGTTTCTTGATTCTCTCGTCTTGGTTCTTGAGGTTGGAGGCCTGTGGAACCTGTTCCGCCGGATAGGCCTCGAGGCTCGTACTACGCGGAATTGGAAACCCGAGATCCTGAAGTTCCTTCTGGTCCCTGGGACTGAGCTGCTTCCAGCCCCGTGTCACGTAGACCGTAATGACCCATCTATCGCCTTCCCAAGGACACGAACCATGTCTCGCTTTAGGCGGGAAGATCAAAGGACGTCCCTTAATGTCGAACTCAACACCAGAAATCACTTCTCCACCTGTGCCTTCCCGAACCGAAATCAGCCCTTGACGATCAAAGTCCGAAACTTCACCCTCAACCCACAGACCTCCCCCTTGAAACTCTCCGAACCCTATGCTGCCGTTGGGAAACTTCTCGTCGTTGTGGGCATCCCGGTGTGTGGGCATGCATGTCCCGTGGTTGACGGCAAACGAAGTCCATTGAAAATGCTTTGGGAGGTGATGTTTCAGGATCTTGTTAATCCAGCGGCAAAGTTCGGGGAGACTCTGAGTACGTTTGGTGGTTCCATACATGTTGCCGTGTGAGTACGCACCGAAAACATGATAATTATTTGGGATCTTGTGGTTCCTTCGGGAGTGGCCTATGTTTTGAAGGGGGTGTTCCGTCAGGACATCTCTCAGGGTGTTAAGGTCGGTGGCCTTGGGTCCTCTACTTTCTCTCCTAGCTTGTTGCTCGAGTCCCTGGGCCTCATTGGTACTCATGTATGCCTGAACCGACATGTCGCCATCGTCTTGTGTTGCACACATGCACGCACCACAAACTGAAGAACCGCGCTTCCCTTCGCAACTACACCTAGTCCCAAGTCCAAAACCCTCGGGGAGCACTGAACGACCTGAGCATTCCTTCGTGATTTCTTCAGTTTCTCCTTCAACACTCAGGGCCTCGTACACAAGCCTCACAAACTCTTTGGGGTAGGCTCGGGACGCAAGGGTACTTCCACTGTCACTCTTCGCATGCTGATAGTTAGTCTGGCAACGACATGGTTTGTTGAGTTGCTCGGCTAGTCGAGCATGTGTGGTAACCAACCTCCATCCCTTCTGAAGCAACCTGTTGTCCCTGCCTCGCAATCCTACGGCGCATCCCTTGATCACGCAAGAATGTAACCCCATCTGAAACCTCAAGTCCTGAAGAACCGGAAGTCTCCAAGCCTCACTCTTTTCTGAAATCTCAACCGTAACATGACTGCCCAACTGAAGACATGTTTTCACCAGCTCAAGAACATTCTTAAAGATCTGGATCTCCAGGGCTCGTTTGGCTTTCAGGTCTCGACTTTGGGCCGGAGTTCTTTGGTTGAGGTTTTGGAGAGGTGAGAACGCCTTAGTCGGGGGCCGGATCCAAACATGTTTGGGCTTGAGGGTCTTAACTTGCTCCAGTATCAATGCGAGACCTTCGTCGCGGGACAGGTCATGACCGTCCCACAGGGACGAGCTATGTGCGCATTCACTTCGGCCCGTCCTTGCTACAAACATGTCCGCAAGTGCACTCTCGTTGGTGTGGCTCACTTCAAGCAACTCAACACGATCAATCCCGACCAGATCTTCAAAGATATTCGGAACAATCCTCTTAGCACGTCTCTCCAGAACCTTAGAAGCTTGCAAACTCAACTCCTGTCCTGGTTCGGCATGTCCTGATCGCGCACCGTCACCTTGCGGGGCTTCTCGGGCTGGCCCTCCTTGAGCGACTTCACCTCTTCGGTCAGTGTCGCCACCATCTGGGCCAACTGAGCCACCGCAACATCCGTAGAGCTCGCACTCGCCGTCGTGGAAGGTTGATGTTTTGGAGTGATCGCCTTGGCCTTGGGCGTGATCTCGGGATAGCCCTCGCCCATCTTCGAAGTCTTCTTCTTGGCGATGACCAACTTCTTCTTGACCTCCGTAGTTGCCCGATTGTTCATCCACGTCACGAACCGCTGGAGGTAGATCGAGCAGCCGGTCTCGGTAGCCGTCTGCTTGGCCCACTGACAATAGTTCTCGTCGGTCTCCAAAACCTCGAGGTAGGTCTTCTGGGAGTGTTTCCCAAACCCCATGCGATCGTTGTCGTGCCCCTCGATGGTGCGGATCATGTGCGACATGCAATTCTTTTGGATGATAGCAATGGTGTCGTTGGTTCCCACCTTCATGCCGTAGGTCTCTTGCACGTAGTTCACCAGCGTTGCCTTGCGACTGCTGGCGCGGTTGAGCTCGGCCACCGCGTTCTGCAACGGAGTCTTCATCGTCTTGGAGGTCTCGATGGCCACCTCGCCTTGATCCGCTAGGTCCGACAGACGCTGACGAAGTTCTAGACGAGTCCACTCCTCGGGCGGTGTCTCGCCCAGGGCACGGAGGTGGAGAATCAGCTCCGGCTTGGTCAATTTGTCCATGGCAGCACGAAAGATTGGGAGGTCCTGCAGGACAGCTTGTTTCAGAGCCAGGATCGCTGCAATCCGGAACATGCTCATCTTGCCATCTCACACGCTTCACAATCTCAGACTTCCTGATCGTGTCCGCCATGTCGCTCCCTCTGGTTCCCACTGGTACATCCGAAGGTTCATAATCAACGGCACCCTCACCATAACCCTCACTAACCACTTCAGTTCCCCTTGAGTGATCTGCTTGGATTATGGGAAAACTCCCCATCCCTGATCCTACTGCTGCGTCCTTCCTGTTTCCGTCAGGGTCAGAGTTCGGAAGGAGCTGTCCCTAGCCTCTCAGAAATTCGGTGAGGCTCGGAACTGGCCTCGTGGTAGCACAAGCATTTGCCATCCAGTCGTCAGTCAGCGGCAGCAACTGATGACCCGTCTTGCTACGGCCTAGGGGAATGATACGGTTCACATCAAGATGGCGAAAGGCTACCAAGTCGGCCTTGAAATCTATGATGGCTCCTAAATTCCGGAGCGCCTCCACACTCAGCAAAACTGGGCTTTGCCCATGGTCTAACGTGTGGATCCTCAGCTCGCCGGGATTTCCTCCGGCCGATACCTTCAAGGAAGCTGTGCTGAGGCATTTGTTTTCTGTCGAATTTCCAAATGAAAAAGTTGGAGGATCTGAGGTGCTCACTGCCGTCAGGCGATTGCTGCCATGCTTCTTCTTATTCATCGCCAAGATCGCCTCCACTGCTGCCACGCTGCCGACTGTTTGTGTCGCTCCGCCATCAACGACACACAGTCCTTGGCTCACTGCCTCCTGAGTAGTGAGGCCAGCACCAGCACCCATGATGCTCAATGCTGCCTCGGCTCTCGGTCTCGGGGCCCTGGGCGAAACCATTCACGTGCTCGTAGTCCTCGGGGATCTTGTCGTGGTAGCACACGAAGGGCGCCTGCTGGGGTCCTGGGCCCCCATTGTCACCGGTGGTGTTCTCCGCCTGGGCGGCCAATGGTTTCACGGGGCAATTGGCTGCCCTGTGTCCTCGTTGTCCACATCGAAGGCAGTCTATGTTCGAATCGTCTCGTGGCTTGAAGGTAGAAGAGGTCGCAGGGCCAGGCTTGCTTTGGTAGTACTTGCGACTTTGCTTCACGGGGTGCTGTTTCTGGCGAGCTTCCTTCAATGTCCGCTTTGCTTGGTGGAGGGCTGCCATAGCCTCCCTCGCAGTCTCCTCGTGGTCCACGACCAAGGCGATGCCCTCTTCATTCATGCCGCCCTCGCTCAGCTCCTCGATGGAGAACCCGTAGGGCCGTAGGAGTAGTCCTTAGCCTCCTGGTGACCGGAGTCCTCGACGGCCTCGCCGATGTAGCTCTGGTATCGCCGTTGATCACGGCGACGAACTTCCCCTTCAGGAAATTGGTTGCGGAGCTCCTGAGCCACCTTTTGCGGCGCAAAGTCCCCGCCCAAGGCGGTGAGGACAATGTTCTTCTCGGCGTGGTCGAGGTTGGAGTCCGCGAGGAGGTACCAGCCTTGGATGAAGGAGGGGAGAAGATCCGGTAGTCCGGGGGCGGTCTCCCCCAGCGAAGACGAAGTAGAAGGCTCCCCATGAAGAGCCTTGCCAGGGTTGTGATCCCCAGCTGCCGTATCCACCCCAGGGTGACCATCCCCACGATGAGGCGCCCCAGGTGTTCCACCTTGTCTGCCACTGATCATCTCCGGTGTCTCCGGTCTCCGAGTTGGCGGTGGCCTCGGTGGAGGCCTCAGTCTCATTGGTGCCCGGCTCCTCGGTGGCCGGTGTCCACTGCCGGCCCCATCCACTCATAGTATCGTAGCTGCTTCGCCTGCTGTACGTGCCCACACTGGTCTGGGTAGTCGTCGTGTCCCGGTCATAGTGTGGCTGGACCCGCTTCAAAGCCTGACTCGCCCGCATGTAGGCTTCCGTCTTCCTGGTGATGTATTCATTCATACTCTCATTCGCCTTGCGCTTTGTGCCCTTGAAGTACAACGCCAGGAGATCGGTCACCTCGTTGACGCGGGGCTTTCCCAGTGCCTTGCGAAGGTGGTCCATGAGCGCCTTCACGCCGCCTCTGTAGGCGACCCATCCTGCGCTCTGGCCTGCCACAAAGCGGCGAGCCGCTCCAGACAGTTCCTGAACTAGCCTCGGCCCAGCAGTGTACCGCTTCTCCCATGTCAAAGACTGCTCCCACAGGAGGGCGGCCTCCTCGTACTCCACGAAAGACCCTGCTTCCCCGCTCCAGCATGGTATTCCGTCTTTGTTACGCGTCACTGCTGTCGCGCCACTGTCAGACGCTCCACTCATCTTTCTCCAGTCCCCACTTGGAGCCGCGGTCCCTGGATCCTATGAGCCCCCCTGGCTAGCGGGAGGCTCCGCTACCATGAAAGAGGTAGCGTCTGATGTAGCTGTCGATGACCAAGCTTGCAGTTCGGCTAGGGCTGTAGGCACGGGCTTCGATGGCTCGGACTAAAGCGGAGCTACGCACCCTACCTGCAGCGCCGGGCAGCCTTTCTCGATCCTCTGCAAAGCTTCGGTGCGAATCTCCTGACAGAGGATGTAGGGCCAGAGTTCGGAGGAACTTGCAGGGGGTAAGGCTTTGCGCGGGCGAGGAAGGTCCTACCCTAAAACCCTGGGGGCGGAGCGCCCCACTGGGAGCGCAGGACGGGCAAGGGGAAAAAGTGAGCCCTGAAGCCCCTGAACATACCCCCATTTCACGAGGCTCAAGATCTACCATCTCATCAGGGTCCACTAAGTGGAGTATGGTCCCCCTGGGGCGCGCCCTACGATTCGCTCCCGCCAGTCGTAGTAGCTGAAGGACAGCCACTCCACAAACCCCACAGATCACGAAGCTGCTCCAGCCGGGGCTTATGGAAACACTTAGTTCCCAAGTCACCAAGTTGTCGTAAGCCCTCGATGTGGGTGATGCGTAGCTCCTCCTGACGCACTGCTTCACGCAGGGCGAAAGCTCTCACACGAAGGTGGCGCGTCTTCCACGTCCCAGAGCTTTCGGTTGTAAGACCGACGGCAGCTTGATTGTCGACTCGCAAGCAGTGACGCGGTTTATCGCGTTGAAGCTCTTCCACAAAGCTCGACAGTCCCAGCATCAGCTGGACACAGTTCACTGCTTCAAGTAGTTCCGCCGCCGCAACCGACAAAGAGACAATACTCTGTCGGCCACATCGCCAACTCACTGGGCATCCAAGGTAGCAAGCAACGGAGCATCCCACAGACCGCGTTCCAAGAGGAGCGAAGGAAGCATCGGAGTAGCCCGTCACCTCGTACTCTGAGTTCGTAGGGCGGTACCACAGACAAACTCCTGCTGTAGCCTTCAAGTACCCCAGAACACGGAGGCCAATCTTCTCAACCAACTCCGGATTCTTGACGCATAATGACGACATTGTCGAAACACTGTGCATAATGTCTGGACGGCTCCGGCCACTCAACCATAACAGCTCTCCAGTCAGGGTTTGGGCCCTACGAAGTTGTTCGGGGGTGTAGTCAACCGTCGCCTCTTCACATTCACCAAGCAACCACTCTTGAGGACAAGGGGCGCCGTACCCCTTGCTATCTTGTAGCTTGTGGTGTCGAATCAACTCCTCGACAAAGGCTTGCTGGCCAATCTTCACCCCGTCCTTCACCAACATGATCTCCAAGCCAAGGAAACGAAGCACCGAGTCCTCGGTGGCCCAGGTGAGATCCGAGGCCTTCCATTCCGAGGTCAACCACTGCTGGACCAAAAGGATGTCGTCCTCGCTGCCCACACACAGAACATCATCGACATAAATGTTCATATAGCCCCGAACCTCGGACTCCCCGTTAGCCCCTTCGTACACAATGGCCCACACATTTGCATCTGCTCGGCTTTGGCGAAGTCGAAGATGTCCAAGGCCGCACGGTACCCGAGCATCACGTAGGCGCCGGTCTCGGAATCGGCTCCACAGCCTTGGACTCCTCCTGAATCCATAAAGAGCCCGATCTACCCGCCACAGTTGATAGCAGTAGGGGACCAAAACCATCTGGAACACCTTCGGTGGGAACAACCCATAAACAGTGCCATCATCATCATCTTCCTCGTCCTTGATCGGAGCAAGGATGAAGGCATTCCGAATGTCGGTGGAGGCCAAGCGCCAGCCTCGAAACGCTGCCAGAACCAACATAGCACGCAAGGAGTCAATCTGGCAGCCGCCCGCGTATGAGTCTTCTCTGGCTTGGCGTCCCTGAAAATTGCCGCATATAACCAATCTCGCCTTGCGCTTGACAAAGTGCGGCGAGCCTCGAGGAAGTGGAATTCCCTCATCATCAACCGTCTTTTCCACATCTGGCGGCTTTGTAGTGAATACCCCCTTTGCAGGGAGCACTACCAGTTTCCCAGAGGCCTCTAATTTCATTTGCTCCTCCGCCGTGAGGGGAACCAAAGCTCCCGCATCGAGTAGGGCCTTCACTTCCTTGTGCATAGCATCTGACCAACGAGAAGCATAGTTCTTAACCTCATCCAAGGCAACAGTGAAGACAACCCGCAAGGGCTCACGCAACTCCTCAAGCATGGTCTCCACCCCGAACGATTCCTCCTCACCTTCGGTCATGCGACACAGGCCCAGCCACTGCTCCTCATCCCAACGTTCAGGTACACAGCGAACTTCACGAAGTTAAAGCCCATCGGCTGCCTCCTGGTTGGCTCACCCCCTCATAGTCCAGCTCCAGGTCCTTGGGAATCACTTGCATTAACTGCTCCTCCTCATCAAGAACTCTCCGGGTCCACAAGCGACTCTGCATCTCCTCCTCAAGCTCGTGCTCAGAAAGGAGATGACGCCAAGGTTTTGCGCAAGAGGCTGCATCCACAACCGGGTTCTCTTCAGGAAGGTCAACCAAGGCATTCACAGAGGGAGCATATAGCGGGAACCCCAAAGCACTCAAGGTTTGCACATCCGAATCCTCAAGCTTCCCCCGAGCCCCTATGGTATGGGCTATCACAGTCCACTTCGGGCCACCCTCCCAGGGCATGGTTCGGTGTAGTCGCTTCGGATCAACCTTGACGACTCGGCCCTTAACCGGGATCACATGGCCTTGGAGCACATCCCCTGAAGCAGTCTCGACCGCAACGTCGGCAAACTCATTGTTGGAACCCTGCTGCCAAATGCCACCCCCCTTGAACTCTCCCAAAGTCAGCACATAGTTGGTAGAGTTTCGCATGTTGAACCGATCACAATGCACATCAGTACATAGATCACGAGCCACCGTAATCGACGTAAACTCACAACTCTCACCACAAGACTTCTTCATGAACTCAGCGAGGTAGTGGGAGAGGGCCGAATGGCGGCCGGTAGCGTTGGTCACACAAATGTGTGGACCACGTTGGTAAGCACCAAGGGTGGTGTGGATAGGAGGTGGCCCATTGCCACCCCACGCTGTAGCCCGCTGCTTTCTGGTCTTGACAAAGGGCTCCGACTCCAACACCTTCAGGCAATCCTCCATGGAAAAACGGTTCTCCTTCGCAAAGCGCTCAGCAAAACCGCTTCGCCCCCTTGAACTTGTAGTAGAAGGCGAGGAAGAAACTTGGCCCTCTAGTTCACACAGCCTGGGACCATTGGAAACCACAGACCACGACTCATCATCTGCATCCGAATCCGAGGAATTAGCCAAGCCAATTAAGGAGCTCAACGCCCCCACAGCAGGACCTTCCCGAGGACCACCATCCGCGGCTCCTGGTAGTAGACTAGCTCCACTCGCTAACTCCACCGCCGTTGTTTTTCCCCTCACACGTCGCGCTGGTAGTAGATCAGGTGGTGAGGGCGCCGGTTCCGAAGCACCATCCGCTCCTGGATCACGCTCTTCAAACTGACGTATATTCGTAGTGAACCACAGGTTGCCCTCATCGGTGTACACCATGTGTCCGCCGGGCACAGAGCGAGCGGGGCCAAGGTAGACCCCACCAATCCATTTTGGTTTGAGGTCCGTACCACCAGCACCATAGCCCTTCCTCCTCGTAAACACCCGCGAACCGAATCGAGCCGCAGATGGAAACTTCCGACCCATAGCTAACGCCTGGTGTTGGGAAACAGCCGTCTCCGCCGCCATAGCCCACCATCCCTTGATCACCTCGTCATCGGCACCGCTGAGTTCTTTAGCCTGAGCAAGCAACACCCTCATGCGCATCTTCACATAACCCACTGCCCTCTCAGCGGTCCCGTTCTGGGACGGATCATCTCCCTGGGTGCGGGACAATTCAATGTCCCTTGCTGCCGCCCAGTGTTCAAAGGCGCTGGATTGATATTCACGCGCACGGTCCATGTGTATTCTCCCCAGCGGAAAACCAGCACTGCGCAGCTGTATGTAGAGCTCCTGGATGGCCTTCAAAGTCTCTGCCTTCTTGCGGGACCTCATAGGTTTGGCCACATACACAGAAACGAACTCCAGGGGCTTAGCGAGCTCCTTCAAGGCCTCAATCTCACCATCCCTTTCATGATCAGCATCAGGAGGTCCTGGATCCACATAACCAACTCCACCTTCAGGTTCTTCGGCAACTAAAAGAACCTCATCTTCTGCTGCTTCAAGGTCTTCTCCCAACCAATCTTCTCCATCATCAGGACGAGGAACGACCTCAGCTGCAGACGGCCCTTTCGCAGGCTCCTCCTCAGGCGATGTTCCCAACAACTTGGGATGTCGATAGCAACCAACGAGCAGGTACTTGTATCCCCCTGCTCCAACATTCCTGAAAGGTCCCGCGGTATCAATAGAGAGGCAGTAAGCAGAAGGGTGCGAGACCTTCCTGTGAGGTTTGCCGCTCGCTCGCTCGATGCAGATCCTGCAGTCTTTGCGATAAGGAAGGTGGTCGCGTTGAACATGTAGCTGCCACTCACGGACATTGAACTTACTCAACTGTAGAGGCTCGGGGTCTTTCAACCAAGATCGATTGACCAAAGAAGAGAGGAAACCCTCGTGGTTGCGAAGGCCCACCCATGCTCTCACCGCAAAAGCCACATGCGCAACCAACTCCAACGGCCATATCGACCCTTGATCACGAGAACCTTCGGGACCCAGGCGTGCATCACGTAGATGCCAAAGGTTCATGTTGCCCCCCAAGATCACCTCCTTCTCGTTCACGAAACAAGGAACTTCCCCCATCAAGGAGTCCATTGCAAAGGCCTTCCACAAAGGAGTATCAAAGAAGGAAAGTCGCTCTCCTCCCGGTCCTTTGGGATGCTCCAACAGGAAATAACCCACATGCGGCTTCACCATAGTTCTCACACCCCCAGCTCGCCACAAAGCTGTTCTGCCTTCCTGGGCCATGTAGAACAACAACATCATCTTCACAATGAGCTGGGTCTCCTTGAGGTGCGGGCCGCCAACAGGAACACCTTGAGCAACCGTGGGAAACGTATGTCTCGGAGGTCCCCCAATGATGGCCTTCACCTTGCCGTTGAGGGCTCCCCACGCTAGCACCTTAACGATGCCGTCCCGCTGCAACAGGTCCATAGACCGTGAGGCCGTGAGGTCCGCATCCACCATCACTTCATCGCCAGATAGAGCTTCACTCCAAAAGGACTTCTTCACTGCATCGCGCCGCTTGGCCTCTTCACTTCTCTCATCTCCAGAGAACAAATGAACGACCCAACCATCACTTTGATAAAGAGCCTTGCGCTTCGCCCGGGACCACGGAGTTCCCTTTAGTAGATTCCAACCATCACGGTCACCACGCGGAACCCCTTCAGGAACACCAAGAAGCACCTCTGCACTCACTGTAGAAAACACCGGGTTCTTGTGCAAGAGGCCGGCCACATGTGTCCGATCACCGCCTTCACGGGCAGCGCGCAAGTGCTGCTCCCAAGTCCAGGCACATGAACCATTGTCACGGATGGCCTTGATCTGCTTTTGAAGGTCCTGGACAGTTTGCTCAAACGAAGCCATCCTTTTCTGTTCCAACTCCGCAATGAGGTCAAGAGCCTGGGTCACAGGAACCACCGGGCAGTGTCCCCGAAGTCGCACTTGAAGCCGGCCATGTACCGGGTGCACCACAGTCAACTTTTTTGGCGTCCAAGTCACCCGGCATCCAAGAAGTCGCACCAATTGACCCATGGGGAGTATCGTCCCCTCGCTGCCCGACTCGCACAGCAACGTTACTCCACGGTTCTGAGGGATCGATCGTTCCTCACCGGTGGCTAAGGCCACCCCCACTCGTCGTGCATCATCAAGCTCTGTCGCGGAGCTTGGGGGCCGAAAGGCGTGGGTAGCACCGCTATCCAGTAGTGCCTCCTCCTCTTCGGGCCCATCCAACCTGGCCAACGTAGTAGAACTCAGTCTCGTCTCGTACCAGGACACCGCACTCGCAAAAGAGGTTGTAGCCTCACAGGGCTCACGCACTCTCATCACCTTCAGCCTCCGCACTTCATCAAGCTGCTTCTGAATCATTTTCAAAGGGTCCATTGGTGCAGCCGGTGCACTTGTTGCCGACGAGTTCGCAGCAGCTATAGACTTCAACATTTTGTTGGTCTCGTTCAATATTTCGGTGACCTTCACCGTGTCAATTTTGTTGTGCGCCCCACCTGTCGGGGTGGTAGTAGAGGAAGCCGTTGGCCCGTTGGCGCCGGATTCGCGGGTCCCTCCGCAGCTGTACTCGTCGTCGCCTGGCTTGAGGAAGTAGCTGTAGCTTGCATAGCTTGAACCTTGGGACCTGGGGCCGGGGGCCTTTCTGTAGTAGTACTCGAACCGCCAGCTGTGAACTCCTTAGCGCGGTGTTGTTTTGAGCCGCAAAGTAGACAACGTTCGCCGCGGTTGAGTCCAGTCCACACATGCTGGAAGTTGCAATTCTTCCCGTTCCGACAACCATTGTCTGAGCTGAACCAGGTACACACCTTTCGGTTCGGAGAAGCCTTCGGCTTCGCCTTCGGCTCCGGTGTAGGCTGTAGCCCCTTCAACGCAGTTCCGCCCGATGCCGGAGTAGTAGCCGTAGAGGGCGAAGTCGTCGTAGTTCCTCCGGTCGAAGGTGCAGCCTGCTTCCGCGCCACCGCTCCAAGCTGCTCCAGCTCTGCAAGCAAGTGCTGCAGATACCTCATCACATTCTCCTGCGTGGGGCGAGTGTCAATCTGCAGCTCGGTCCTCGCCAAAGCCAAACGGAACTTAAAGTCAGCATTCTGCTCAGCTGTTCGTCGGACTATCACGGACAACGACCTCACCTGCAAAGACTCATCTGGTAACGTGACTCCCAAGTCTGCGGCACGTTGCAACAGACGGTACCATCGGCGAAGCGCCGCCGTTGCTTCCGCAGGGCTTCCCGAGGACTCTGTCACGTCAAGCTGCTTCAGCAGCTGAGCCCGATCCTGAGCACCTCCAGGCTGGAAGATCACCATCAACCTGTAAAGAATCTGGTGCACACCCTGAACTCGGTACGCCACCAGATCGTCACGCACCCCCTTGGGGAGCGAAGCCAGGACCAAAGCCGCGACCTTTCGCTCCAACTTCTTGTACTTGTCCTCCTTGAGCTCCGGGGTAAGCGTAGCGGCCACACTCAACCTTCTCACCGGTGACAAAGTCTGGTACTCCGCATACGCCGCCTGAGCCACAGCAAGCGTCTTAGCCCACCATTCACCCGCTCCTGAGGCCAGTGTGCCAATCTGCTGCTCAGCCAGGTACAGATAGTCCTGGAAGTCGATGGCCCCGGTCTCCGCAGTGTACTCCGGAAGCTTCACTAGCTCGCTCACAGCCTTCGGCTCCAAGTCGATCACGTCGCTTCGCTGCTTCAGCAACACCTGCTGCAACTGGCTCATTCCCGTTATCAGCACATCGATAGGTGAAGGTGCCGCCGAGCTCGTCGCCGCATCAGTCCTTGGGCCTCCATCTTGTTCCGCCTCTGGTTGTGAGGGCCTCACTTCCGCCTCCGTTGGACCTGGGGCGTCAGAGGTCGCTGGTCCTTGGGTCTTCACATCCAAGCCCGGCGGACGTTCAAAGCCATAGTCACCGTAGGTCCGGGAGTCACGGAAACCCGGAGGCCTGTAAGGAGCCTCAACAGGGGGAACTCCAAGTCCACCTGCTCCAAGACCAGAAACACCATCACCACGATGTCCATCCCTTTTCGGCAACCATCCAAACTGCGCACCTGGAAGACCAGTAGTCGTAGTAGGAGAAGGAGCTACGACCTAGCGGCGAAGTCTTACGGTCCAAACTCGAAGTTCTGGGTGCCCGCAAGTCCCCAATGGGAGCTTGTTTCTTCTTTGGGTCCTGAGACAAAGAGCGCAACCTCGGACCACCGCTGAGACTCGGCACAGAAGACAGACCACCACGACCTTCACGCACTTCTGGATACGGACCCCGAGGTTCTTCTGGACTCTCACGAACACCAGCTTGATGCCCTCCTAGCACTTCAGAACCAAACTGCTGGAAATAAGCCCGATGCCCCCTAGGTTCTTCTGGACCCGCACGAACACCGGCTTGATGCCCTCCTAGCACTTCAGAACCAAACTGCTGGAAATAAGCCCGATGCCCCCTAGGTTCTTCTGGACCCGCACGAACACCGGCTTGATGCCCTTGTGGTACTCCAGGACTCAAAGGCTGCTGATAAGCCCGATGCCCCCGAGGTTCTTCTGGACTCTCACGAACACCAGCTTGATGCCCTCCTAGCACTTCAGAACCAAACTGCTGGAAATAAGCCCGATGCCCCCTAGGTTCTTCTGGACCCGCACGAACACCGGCATGATGCCCTCCTGGTACTCCATGACCTAAAGGCTGAGCGCTAGCCCGATGCCCCCGAGGTTCTTCTGGACTCTCATGAACACCGGCTTGATGCCCTTCTGGTACTCCACGACCATTGTCAACGAAACCGACCCGGGGACCATCTGGAAACCCTTGGCCATCCCGCTCACCTTCAAATCTTCGTGCACTTCGGAACTCCATTTCCCCACGAAGACGGCGATTCTCTTCTCTCAACTCTTCCATATAGCGCTGTTGCGTTCCCAAAGCTTCCGTCACCTGTCTCCGGACCTCCTCCTGAACCACTTCACGCGGTATGGAGTTCGATGATCCCGGATCGGTGGCGGGCCTTTCGACAGCCTGCGTCCCATGTAGAAGCGGTGCCCTTTGTAACCATCCTTCCATAACCCTTCTCGCACCAGGGCCAAACAAAGGAGGATCAGGTTCTCCAGGAGGAACATCAGCGGCCTGAGGCGTTCCTTCCGCAAAGGGCGACTGTCGCCGATGCGGAGACTGAGGCGCAGAAGTAGTATGCTGCAACCGCTCTTGGCTAACCAACTCACCTCGCGCTCCAACCACCTGCTGTCTGGTCAACGTAGTTCTGGTTTCCACTGCTCCTGGCACATGCGTCCGCAAAAACTCACCCAAGCGAGACACCCAGGAAAACGTCGTAGGAGAGAATGCTGGGGGCCTCGGGGTGCCACTGACCATAGACCCATGCACTTCCTTACGGGATCCGGCTGAGCTGGCCAAGCTCCGGTGAAAAAGGCCGGACCAGCAGCTGCTCCACTCGGGGCTGCATACTCCAAGCCAGAAGCCAGCGGGGAGCCGTTCAACGACTCGATCTGAACCATGTCAGAGGGGGCCCTTTGGACCTCCGACGCCGGAACACCATTCGGCATAGGCAGCGAAACGGCTGGACCTCGCCTTCCAGGTTGACCATAGTCGGGGCCTGCCGTTTCCCCATCCAGCAAAGGATTCGCGTGCAGCGGAGTTTGCCTTGCATCTTGGGCGTGCATAACCTGTTGATCTTCACGACCGGAACGGGCACTTGACGAATCCATGCTGAGAAATCTACGTCTTCTTAAGAACGAAATCTTGACAACCTTCTGAAGGGTCCTGACAAAGTCGAAGATGCCTCGAGGAGAAACTTAACTCTCGGAAGCCTAACCCCAACCGCAGAACACGAAACCGCTTACCAACGAGCCCCGCAGGGGCTCTCACTTCAGCGGTCCTCACTTTTTGCATCTTGAGCCACGAGCCAATCATGGCATGCTGGCTTCTGCCGATCATGCAACCTCTCTCAGACAGCATCTGTGCACATGTCTGTGTTGCGAGGCTAACACTCACTTACAGAATCCCATCATACTACTACTACTACTACTACTACTACTACTACTACTACTACTACTACTACTACTACTACTACTACACTACTACTACTACTACTACTACTACTACTACTACTACTACTACTACTACTACTACTACTACTACTAGTACTACTACTAGTACTACTACTACTACTACTACTACTACTACTACTACTACTACTACTACTACTACTACTACTACTGCTATTTCAAAGCTATACTACTGTGTTCTACTACGACTGACTGCTGATACTACGACTAATTACTAGTACTACTACGACGAGTACTACCACTACCACTATACCACTACCACTACTACTACTACTACTACTACTACTACTACTACTATGTGGAGAACGGAAACCCAAAGGGGCAGCACGCACCCTCGTTTTCCGTCCAAGCAGAAAGTCCAACGACCGTGACAGGTCGAACGTCCGCCCAGGACGGGCTGCGCGCAATTGCGTCGCGGCAACGAGAAGCTACCAACGACACACTGCCGTGCTCACTTGAGCCAAAAATGTTATGAATACGAATTACAGAAGAGCATGCATAAAAGCATACAGCACAACAGCCAGCCCGCAGACTATGTACAGTTACATTCGCCCCTCAGCCGAGAGCACGATAGAGCCGTAGGATTCCGCGGGCGGCCGGAGGCCGTAAAACTGACCTACAGACCCTGCCCTCCTACAAACCCTTCGCACTCAGCACAAGACCTTCGTTTTTCACGGCCTGTGCTGCACGAGGCTCTGGTTTCCTACTGTACACAGCCTGCGCCGCACTGCGGCCACAGGGCTGGTGAAACGAGCAGCTGAAGCTGCGGCGTTACTCCACGCGCTTCGGGAGCACTACCGTGCCTCCCTAGCCGCTCCCGTCAAAGACCTGTAGAGCGGATACGCCACCCTGTCGTCTCATCGGAAAGCAGCTAGGTGCTGCGACCAAAACTGAAGTTGCCACAGGTGGCTAGAAGGGCGGAGCGCAGTCCGCGACTTCTAGTCCACGGTCACTGCGGCTCCACGTTGGGTTGCGCGGCGGGCTGCTGGACATTTGAGGGTTTTGCCCGCCCGCGGTGGTTCCGCTGAGGTGCTTCGAACTCCTCGAGCTTCAGCGCCTTGGACCACTCGGTGCCAAACGAATCTAGCCACTTTTGGCTAAATTCAGAGGTCAGCACACTGGCGACCGCGATGCCGACCTCCGCGTTGGCCCGTGAACTAGCACTAAAGTTTAGGCTTCCTATCACGGCGCTAACTGTGGAGTCCGGCCTCGTCACGAGCACCGTCTTGGCGTGGTGGATGCCCGCGAGGCCTGCGCCGATGCTCACGTCCGTGCGGTTCTCGGCGGCGTAAGCCGCCTTGACCGAGGTGCCCTTGCCGACACGGACCTGGACGCCAGCCGCCCCTAGCTCCTTGAGGGACTGCAGCTGGAGCTTGGTCCGGCTCGTCTGCGAGTTGTCGGCAAGCACGTGGGCTCGGGCGCCTCGCTCCAGCGAGGACACGAGGGCTCCAACCAAAGGCTTGCTATCGAAGCTGTAGGCTCGCACGTAAACGTGGTCCCCATGCCCAGCGTCCGATAGCATCGTTTGTACCACAGCGTGATACTCCGGAAGGGTCAGAAACTTGACCCCGGCTCGCTCGAAGCCGTCAGGGATCGGGAAGTCTCTGACACGCCGTGCCTGGCTCGACATGGGAGCTGTCGGAGCCGGAGACGCCGCAGAGGTACCCTGGCGGGAAGCCTCCGCTGCAGGCGTCTTCGGAACAGTCTCTGTCGGAGGCGCCGACACTGTGGCCACCTCGTGGCGGCCTCTGAGCTTGGTAAAGCCGTCAAGGCAACCCTCGGACGGGTTCCCGACATTCCGAGCTCTTTCAGAGAGCGATCTCGCTTTCGACACCATGCCGGCAAGGCACCCCTGTTCCAGGGCCGGCGCGCCGAGGATCGCACGGGCGCGTCTAGTCGCGGCCGGGGCGACGGACAGCGTTGGGGCAGCGCTCGCGCCTGTCATGGCCACGAGTTGCCCCGCAGCTTCAACAGCGCGTTCTATGTGACCACAACGTCCCTCGTTGAGGAATGCCTTGCAGTCGCAGCCTGCGCCGTCCGCGCCCGACCCGACCTTCACAAGAACCCTGTGTGCTCCGGCCTTAGTCTTTGATGCAACCTCAAAGACAGCCTCCCGGCCTTCGAGCGACACCAGAACAGCATTCCCAAAGGGGTTACCGTTCATGGCGTGCATTAGCCGGTTAGTGGCGACACGTCCGGCCCACCACAGCACTACGGCCGCGAACGTCCACAGTAGGACGACGGCCGTCAAGCCAACCACGCGGACACCCCGAACGAGGATACCAGAGGATTCCTCGATGAGGTCCTCCGCCGCAGTGGCAACTGCAGTGAGGCTCACGTGTGCCACCTCTCTGGCACCGCGCTCAACAGTGAAGAGGGTAGGCGCCAGCGCAGCGGCCACCAAACCCATCTTCCATCCAATGTTGCCCGTTGTGGCGTGGGCTGCGCGATTGCGCGCTCTCCTGGAGAGAGCCCAGCTGGAGACCGCAGCGCCTATCGAGCGCACGGCCCCAAGGAACCCACCACGGTTCGAGGGCCCGGAAGAGACAGCGGGGCGAGAAGAAACGGCAGGGGCCTCGGGCGCCACTCTGTGGCCACCCGGGCCACGCAGTGGGAGCGTGAGGGCGGGCTGCCCAGCACGCTCGCCGAGTCGGGAGGAGTATGCCAGTCCGGCAGCACCTCCGGCCCACCATCCTCGGTTGCCGTAGCGGTTCGAGCTTCCCCTTCCACCACCTTTGCCACCACCCTTGCTGCCAGAGCTGCGGCCCCCACTGGGTGCACCGCGCCCGGAGGAAGGTTGGCTCCACCAGGCTCGGGCAGAGTCTTGAGAGAGCTCTGCCTGCCTGCGCTTTTCAGCGCGGAGCCTCTTCCGTCCGGAGCGGAGGAATTTCCTCGCATGCTCCGCAAGGGGATCGGCGTTGATGGAACGCTCGATCCGTTCCATCTTCGTGCCCTCGC